CCTTCCATTTTCCCCAGCATCATTGTCTTCTCTAAGGTTTCCTTTCTTCTCATGATGTGGCCAAAGTACAAAGATATCCCAGAATATCAAGGCAGAAACCCCCACATTATCTGAGTGTGGACTCATGTCCCCGCTTGAGGAGCTGGAGCTGATAGAGGGAGCTCCTCCGTGCTCTCCCCTTGATATCCTGGGACATAGGTCTGTGTGGAAGGGCCCTCAGCCTTGGCAGTAAGTCCCTAGACCTCTCCACTTCTGAATAAAATCCCATATTACCTGCTCTGGACTGGTATATATGGCAGTGTGGACTCAGATATTCCAGTTCAAAGCAGATATTGTGGGTTATTCTGCCTTGATCTCCTGGGTTATGTGGTTGTGTGCAAGGGCCCTGGGAAGCCCTCGGGAGCAGGAAGCAAAGGATCCTCTTCCACCTTTTCCTCCTCTTCTTTACTCAGTGGTTCCCAACCTTTGGTCCTCCAAGGGCATAAACCATACACTGGAGAATGAATGCGGCTTGACACCACTTCAACTACCACTGCTCAGTGCTATGGAAGCTGAAAGTTGCATTTCTGTCTCCAGCCTTCTCTGCCAAAGAGTGCTGATGTCTCACCCAAACTACAAATCCAGGATTGCATAGCATTGAATCATGGCAGTTGACAGACTATCAAACTGTATTAATTCTACAGTGTGTTGTCGAAAGCTCTCATGGCCAAAACCATTGGGTTGCTGTGAGTTTTTCAGGCTGTATGTCCATGTTCCAGAGGATTCTCTCCTGACATTTCACCCATATCTAGGGCAGGCATCCTCAGAGGTTGAGGGGTCTATTGAAACTAGATAAGTGGGGTTTATATATAAAAAGAAATTGCAACATTCATACTTGTCTGCTTGAGGCAAGTGTGAATGTTGCAATTGATCACCTTGATTTGCTATGAATAATCTTGCAGCTTCAAAGATTGGATGCTTCCTGCCTGGAGGGAATCCTTTGTTGGGAGGTGATTAATGACTTGCCTCCAACAGACGAGGGTTCCTTCTCTCACTCTGGACATTATTCCACAGACATATAAACCCCACTTGCCTAGTTTCCAACAGACCTCTCAACCTCTGAGGATGCGTGCCATAGATGCAGGGGAACATCAGGAGAGAATGCTTCTGGAACATGGCCAGACAGCCCAGAAAACTCATAGCAACACAAGTGTTTGTGTTTGCATTCGAATACGAGAGAAAGAGAGAGGCAACAGACACCGAATAGACTCAATCCCTCCTTTCTCTGTCTCTCTTGAACAGCACCGACCCTTCGATCAATGGATTTGGGAGCGCCGACCACTGTGTCATCTGTGAACCCGCGTGTCCGTCCCCCAACCCTCCCTCGTGAACCCAATGTTTTTTCTCCTTCGCGAAAAGGATGGACACTCTTGGAGCGGTCCTCGATCCCAAGACCCACGGAAAGTGCCCCCAAACCGTTACTTGGAGGAGAAAACGACGGGACTTTGGAGGAGGAAGAGGCGCGTGGAAAACCAGCGAGAGACACTGGAGGACCTCCCACAAAACAGGAGATGAATGCTTCTTCACAATCATTAAAGTCACAGGAACCTTCTCTAGTTGCTCTTCTAGCAATACCGTGACGCCTTTAACTCTTTTCCTTGGTGAACACATCAAACTTGCCAAATATTTCGGGGGGGGGGGGGGGGGGGGGGGGTCTTTAGATCCGATTTGAGGGCTTAAAGGAGACCTGGGAAATGATAATGATGGTTCATTTCTTCGACGATCAATTCTAAACAGCAGACCCGAGGATTTAGCGCTGCAGGTCGATGAAATGGAAAGCTTCCCTTGTTTGTGGATGGCAGGGGGCGGAAATGGAGATTTGTTGCAACGTCCCCTTTATGGGCAGGGAGAGTTGCAGTCGAAACTGTTGCGTGCCTACTCCGAAGTAAGGCTCCCAGAAGTAAGGCTGGATCTACACTGTCATAGATGTTATATTGTCAGTGTAGACCCATATAAAAACTCTAAAATCAGAGCAACACTCAAAAAACAGGGGAATTCCAGACAGGACACAATCAGGGCCAGCTAACACCTCTCAACAAAGGATTCCCCCAGGCAGCAACCATCCAGGTTTTGAAGCTGCAAGGCTTTGCAATGCTAATCAACCTGGCCAATTGCAACTCTTAGGCTGGATCTACACTGTCATAGGTGTTATATTGTCAGTGTAGACCCATATAAGAGGCCCATGTCTCTTCGTTGCCAATTCAAAATCAAGCCATCCCAGCATCCATTGCTCTGCACAGAAACAAAGTAGGAATCTGTCACATGCCCTCGCCAAGCTATTGGAAGGACTGGGGTGCATCCATACTGTAGAATTAGTGCAGTTTGATACCAACTATAACTGCCAAGGTTCACTGCTGTGGGGAACCACCAGCCTTTTTAGCAGAGAAGGCTAAAAACCTTGTCGAACTACAACTCCCGGGATTCCATAGCATTAAACCATGGCAGCTAAAATGGAGTCAAACTGCATTCAGTCTACTACAGTTTGGATGCTGTAGATTGAAGCTCTTGACGACAGAAACAGGAATTTCGGCAGGCAACACAACCAGGTAACCAACAACATCTGCTGAAAGTCCTGCTTAACACAAACATGATCCCAGTTGAGGTCTGCTCAGATTAGAATATTACTGGGTTGTTGTGAGTTTTCCAARCTGTATGGCCATGTTCCAGAAGCATTCTCTCCTGACGTTTCACCTGCACCTATGGCAGGCATCCTCAGAGGTTGTGAAGTGGCCGATTGCAACATTCACACCTACCTCAAACAGACAAGAGTTCTTTCAGACCTCAAAACCTCTGAGGATGCCTGTTATAGATGCGGGAGAAACGTCAGGAGGGAATGCTTCTGGAACATGGACATTCAAAAGATATATAAACCAAATTTCCTAGTTTCCAACAGACCTCACAACCTCTGAGGATGCCTGCCATAGATTTGGACGAAACGTCAGGAGAGAATGCTTCTGGAACATGGCCAGACAGCCCAGAAAACTCATATATTTTTATCCCACCCTGGACATTCAAAACCAAATTTCCTAGTTTCCAAAAGACCTCACAACCTCTGAGGATGCCTGTCATAGATTTGGACGAAACGTCAGGAGAGAATGCTTCTGGAACATGGCCAGACAGCCCGGAAAACTCATATATTTTTCTCTCACCCTGGACATTCAAAACCAAATTTCCTAGTTTCCAAAAGACCTCACAACCTCTGAGGATGCCTGCCGTATATTTGGACGAAACGTCAGGAGAGAATGCTTCTGGAACATGGCCAGACAGCCCGGAAAACTCACAGCAACCCAGTCTCCAAAACTTTGTCTGACTTCCTTCTGAGTAAGATGGGGAGGACTTTCTTTATTCCTTTATTTGTTGTTGTTGTTGTGATGTTTAGAGTGAGCAAGAGAGAGTTTCAAAGCGACTCCCTTGGACTGGCTGCCAAGTTTCCGAAGATGTTCTGAGGAGCGGGAGCAAAACAAACACACAAACAAACAAGACACGCACTCGGCTCAGCGCGCTTTCAAGTCTCCAAAGTGGAAACGGGTGGGCGGGAAGGAAAAGGAGCGCTCCGGCTTGGCAGTGGCTCAGGCGGCGGGGAGGGAGGCGAAGGAGGGCCGCCGCCAGGTAGGACAGCATGGCAGGCTGACCTCCTACCTACGCCCTATTGGAGCAGGGAGGGCGCCCCCTTGGGCTCAAGGGGGCTGTCTTGGAAATGAACTGGCAATGGTTGATCTGTGAGCAGGGACCTTTAAAGGGGGGGGGGGGGGGGGGAAAGAAAAGGTTTTGGAAAATGGCTATTCATAACCAGGGCTCTTTTGGAAAGGCACAACCTTGTTCAAGATCATAACCTTTTGTAAACTATGATCTTCCTGAGAAGAGTTTGAGTCAACCCTCTCCTTAGTGGTAAATATCCACTAGGATTAATGCAAGGCATTTAAGTTTCTCAGTTGTTAAACTGATATGCCTCGATATCTCTTTGAACTGTTCCAGACAAAGATATGCTAGTGCACAAAAAAGCATATATAGCAGAGTTTCAGAAATGTTCTTTTCAGTTGTCCCAAAAAGATCTACTCTCCCTTAAACATCTTGGTTTAAATCATGCTCTCAAGAGACCAAAAATGAAGTAGTTTTCCTTAAAATAGCATTTTACTCACAAACTTCATGTATTCAGCACACAGGTACATTGCATATCAACTCAGTTAAACATAGGATTTGAAGTAGTTTCTCTGTGCAAGGGGAAACTACACAGGGTGTTGGGTTTCATCCCCGAACTGCACAAGTCTCTTGTGTCATCAAGTCTCCAGTCCTCAATGAGTAGCTAGACTTAGATATTGTCATATGTTCTGCAGTTGATGGTGGTTGGTGATGGAAGGGTTAATGTGAGTATTAGTTCTAGAGGGTTGGGTAATTGGTAAGTGGGAGTTCATGCGTGAAAGCAATTAGGGGTGGAGGTGTGCAGGAGATGGGTTGCAGCTGGGTGTTACTGGATTTAAGGAGCTAAACTTGAGACTGATCTTTGGGAGAAAAGCATCTGTTGCATTTTGGTGGTGGACGCTGCTGGTTTTCCCCCCCCCAGGTTTGTTGGATTTTTCAGTATCCTGACCTGTCTCTTGTAATCCTGGAACCTTGAACCTTTGGACTGGCTTTTGACTACGGTATAGACTCTTGATACCTGGACTTTGTTTATTGAACTCTCGGCATTTGACCACTGGACTGGACCCTTTTGACTACAGAGTTGTTTTTGCTATCTTTATGTTTTGGTTTATTAAAACAGTTAGCAAGTAAGTGCTGTTTTAATTAAACTGTTTGTTAAAACTGGGAGTTTGATTCATCTCTACCTAAATAAGGCAGAGCCCTGGCAACGTGACAGATATAGGGTTAGAGTGAGGGATTCCTTCCCCCATATTTCTATGCATGTTTATCCCAGAAGGGGGCTTTGTCTTTACTCTTTTTGCTTGCCACTATCTCCCCCACTGTTTTTGCTCTTCCAACTCTTGACCTTTTATTAACTTTAAAAAGTGTGAAGGTTTGCTGCTAGATCTTGTTGAAAGCAGCTATGTCAACGCTCTGCACATAGTTTTCGAACTTGGTGATCTCTTCCTCTAAGATATCTGTTCCCACTTTGTCGTCCTCCACCACACACTGAATCTGGAGCTTCTTGATTCCATAGCCCACTGGGACCAGTTTGAAGGCTCCCCAGACCAAGCCATCCATCTGAATGGATCAGACACATTCTTCCATCTTGGTCATGTCTGTCTCGTCATCCCAAGGTTTGACATCCAAGAGAATGGAGGACTTGGCAATCAGGCCTGGCTTCTTGGATTTCATCTCCGTATACTGCTTTATGCTTTAGTCGCTGTTCCCTAACTTGGGCTGCTTCCTGGTCCTCCTCCTCATCACTTCCAAACAGGTCAATGTCCTCGTCATCATCTCCTCCCCACTTTAAAGACCCTTTGAAGACGTAGCAATGGAATCTTTGTGAGGTATGTCCCTTTGTGTCCCTTTTAAAGGTATTTTTATTGCCCTGGGTTTGGCCATGTGGTTTTTCTCCATAATTGGCTCTCTCTCTGCCTTTTCTTCCTTCAAGTGAGGACGCATTTTGCCTTTATTCAGGCAAAATGTAGCTGCATTGATATTTTTGACTTTTTATCCTTTTACCATTCTTAGAATATGAGTTTCAGTAAGCTAGTTAGCTCCAAGATTTTCCTATCTAGAATGGATTTCTTTTTACACTTCAATAAATATTTTGAACCTAAAGTTCTGTCTCTGCAATCCTGTGCCATCCTGTTGAATGGAAGCTTATCCCGGCTTCCATTCTTCTGCTGGTTATGAAGTTTGCTTCTAGCACTCTGCTATATTTATGGTGAATCACCCCAACTGAGAGTTATGTTTTGAGCCTAACAGCTCAGATTTCCAACACAGGACATCTTTCTTATAATCAACAGTCCAAAGTATCTCTTTGTTCTGAGAGCCTAATACAGTGTTTGCATTCTGTTTCTACCGAATTCTAAAATCATACTGCATACTGACTTCTAAAATTGAGTCCCAGATCTGGTCACATGGTCTCCAACCCCTCCCATAACATAGAGATAAGGAAAACTGCATACCCATACACACACATACATAGAGTAAGCAATCTGAATTATATATGTAACAAATAACTAATGGAGGCTTAAAGAAGATTGCTATTTCCAACAGAAAGATGATCTATCGTTTGTATACACATATGTATACTATTAGTATACATATTCAGTCACACACACACACAATATACACATACATGTATACTTAAATTATATATATATATATATATGAGAGCCCCCGGTGGCGCAGTGGGTTAAACCGCTGAGCTGCTAAACTTGTTGACAGAAAGGTTGCAGGTTCAAATCTGGGGAGCGGCGTGAGATTCCGCTGTCAGCCTCAGCTTCTGTCAACCAGCAGTTCGAAAACATGCAAATGTGAGTAGATCCATAGGTTCCACTCCAGCGGGATGTAGGCCACATGACCTTAGAGGTGTCTACGGACAATGCCGGCTCTTTGACTTAGAAATGGAGATGAGAGCCAACCCCCAGAGTCAGACATGACTGGACTTAATGTCAGGGGGAAACCTTTACCTTACATTTCTTTACTATATATATATATATCTATATATGCACACACACACATGCACACATATATACCAAAGGTATACATATCTGTGTTTTAGGCCTGTGCGGTCAGTGAATAAAATACTCATTCCTAAATTAGTTTGTTACTCTTTTGTTAAGTCATTTTGCAAGGGGGGAGGAGGAGTTTCCAGGGCTCTTCCCTCCCTCATTTTTAGAGCTATTGGGACGAAATTTGCTACAATGGTATAATACATTTACCACTGTTACCCCCTCCCCCAAGATTCAGAATGTTTCACTCATCCACTGATTTTTAGGTAATTTTAACTAAACAGTGCTATTTTATTGGAAGACCCAAGGGACCATCCAGTCCAGTCCCCTTCCTGGCAAAACACAGTTAAACGAAATTTAACAGATGCCCATCCAGCCTTTAAACTACTACTACTACTACTACCACCACCACCACCACCACTACTACTACTACTAATAATAATAATAGGAAACCTACTAGATAAACTTGGGAGTTACTGCTTCTCAACTTTGCCTACCTCACAGAGTTGATTCAACTCCAAGTAATCCCCCTTTATCTCAAAATCACTTTAGAGCAGTGGTTCCCAACCTGGGTCCATGGACCACCAGTGGTCTGCAAGAACTAAAATATGGTCTGAAGTCTCACTGTTACTACACCATTGCAATGAGAACAACTGGTCTTACAAAACCCTCTTATAGTACTGAGGCTTATTAAATATGCTTTTCTCTGGGCGAGCAGATGGTGACTACTGGATGGCATATGTTCTGTATCAGAAATTAGAGCTGATGTGGTCTATCCAATGCAATTTTCTGAATCAGCACCCCAAATAATCAAACCAAACCTAAAGTTGACCAGAAACTGATTTGTAACCCTTTTGGTACTAATGTTTGAGAGTGGTCTGGGTCAAAGTGGTTCGTGGGCAGAGTGGTCCCTGGGCAAGGGGCCCCTGGTTGAAAAAAAAGGTTGGGATCCACTGCTTTAGAGAATGAAGACCAATACTTTTAGGGAGGAGGAGGAGGAAATGCAAGGCGGCAAGCAGAATTCTGAGAAATGAAGTTTGGGAAGATGAGGACCTCACCCTAAACTCCATTTCTGAGAATTCTGCTTGCTTTCCTGCATTAAAATCTCAATGTGAGTTTGATCTCTGCCTCTCTCTCTTGACCAGCCATGTGCTGGAAGGATTTTTTCCTTGCCTGGCCATCTAGCCAGGCATCCCTCCCCCTCTTTGAGGAAAGAAGGGGACATCTCCCTCCACTCCAGCCCTCACCATCCCCCTCAGGGCCCTTTGGGGGAATCAAACCAAACCTTTTAGGAGATAAATGGCGCCCACAACGGAGACCTAGAGCCATTTACGAGACTTACACAAGTCTCACAACCTCTGAGGATGCCTGCCACAGATGCAGGTGAAATGTCAGGAGAGAATGCTTCTAGAACATGGCCATACAGCCTGAAAAACCTACAACAACCCAGTGATTCTGGCCATGAAAGCCGTTGACAATACATGAAAAGTAGCTTCATAACACAAAACAATTTAAATAGTATGGTTCATTCTATATTTTTATATGGACTTAATTAAATTGATTTTCTATTTTAGTTACAAAGTTTCAAGTTTTACAATAACTGAAAATGACTGTTAATTTGTAATTTATAGTTGCAAAAGAATACCACAATGTCTGTTGGAAACACTTGGCTACAGCCCTAGCCCACCTTCAGTGATTCACATACCTGCTCTTCTTATAGTATGATAGACACCCACAATGCTATATGACAGCCTACACAAGCTGGTCCCTGTGCAAAAGAATAAAATAATACCAAACTGAAATCAGAAAGTATTAAAAACCAATGGGACAATTCTTCAGTCATCAGGGCATTTTGCAATCTCAAGTTGAACTTCAAGTAATGGGAAGTCATGCTACCCCTCTATTCTGCCTTGGTTCGATCACACCTGGAATATTGTGTCCAATTCTCGGCACCACAATTCAAGAGAGATATTGGCAAGCTGGAATGTGTCCAGAGGAGGGCGACTAAAATGATCAAGGGTCTGGAGAACAAGCCCTATGAGGAGCGGCTTAAAGAGCTGGGCATGTTTAGCCTGAAGAAGAGAAGGCTGAGAGGAAACATGATAGCCATGTATAAATACGTGAGAGGAAGTCATAAGGAGGAGGGAGCAAGCTTGTTTTTTTTTGCTGCCCTGGAGACTAGGATGGGGAACAATGGCTTCAAACTATAAGAAAGGAGATTCCATCTGAACATGAGGAAGAACTTCCTGACTGTGAGAGCCGTTCAGCAGTGGAACTCTCTGCCCTGAAGTGTGGTGGAGGCTCCTTCTTTGGAAGCTTTTAAACAGAGGCTGGATGGCCATCTGTCAGGGGTGCTTTGAATGCAATATTCCTGCTTCTTGGCAGGGGGTTGGACTGGATGGCCCATGAGGTCTCTTCCAACTCTTTGATTCTATGATTTAAAGACCAATTCCTATTTGCAAAAGAAGAAGTTCAGCTCCATGTCCTGTGGCTTTAATTAGGATGCCTTTTTTGTCACCCATCTACAGTTTGTTAATAGCCAAATTATAACTGTTTATACTATTTGCTTTTCTGTTTTTACATTATACATTCCCCAAACCACATTCATCAAGAGGTTCAACTCTATCCCTTGTGACCTGCTGTGGGCAAATAATATTTTATCTCACCGTGTGCGCGTTGCCTACCACCTGCTTTGGTTAATGAAGCATATTTATGCTTTCTGTGATTCAATTCCCTATCTCCCCTCTCTGATTACACTCTCACCTGTTCTCCTATTTAAGCCTCTTTCAGACTTCCCAACTGTAGTATTTTTATATCACTTTAAAGGCCTGGCTCCATCCTGTGGCATACTGGGATATATCGTTTTGTGAGGTATTTAGAATTCACGATGAGAATTACAAACTACAAATTCTAGCATTCCATAGGATGCAGTGGTGACAGTTAAAGTGGTATCAACCCAAGCACATATGCAATAATCTGTCAGTTTAGGTGTCACTCTGTCAATCTCACAAAGTGGGCTGCATTTCACTGAAGCTTGTGACATATATAATTTATTAGTCCTTTAGGTACTATTGGACTTTTTGTCATTTTTAATTTATTACTGCTAGAATGCTACTTCCATCGAGTCAGAGATGTGCTTGTAGGATTTCCCCTCTTGTTTGTCGGAACTGGATTTGATTGAAGATTTCAAGGAAAATGCTGTAAGTCTGGATTTGAAGATGTGTGTATCAGGCATGCCATTGTTGCCTTCACTTTTTAGAAAAGCACGACCTTTTAGGGATTATAACTTTTTAGAGAAAAGCCAAAAAAACAATTGGAGTAGAATCTTCTCAAGTGGCATACAACCAAATGTAATGATGCAAGGCTTCAGTTGTTAGACTGAACAACCAATTGTTTCTGATCTGTTAGAGCAGGGGTCCTCAAACTAAGGCCCAGGGGCCGGATATGGCCCTCCAAGGTCATTTACTCGGCCCTCACTCAGGGTCAACCTAAGTCTGAAATTAATTCCAAATAGGGAGACTCCACCAGCCTCCTCTCTGCCCTGGCATGTGGCGGAGGCTCCTTCTATGGAGGCTTTGAAAAGTACAGGCTGTTTGGCCATCTGTTGGGGGTGCTTTGAATGCGATTCTCCTGCTTCTTGGCAGAAAGGGATTGGACTGGATGTCCCGCGAGGTCTAACAAACTCTAGGATTCTATGACTTGAAAGCACACAACAACAACAACAGCAACAACAATCCTATCTCATCAGCCCAAAGCAGGCCCACAATTCTCACTGAAAGACTAATAAGTTTATATTTGTAAAAATTGTTCTTCATTTTAATTATTGTATTGTTTTTAAGTGTTTTTGCACTACAAATAAGATATGTGCCGTGTGCATAGGAATTCATTCATGCTTTTTTCAAATTATAATCCGGCCCTCCAACAGTTTGAGGGAGTGTGACCTGGCCCCCTGTTTAAACAGTTTGAGGACCCCTGTGTTAGAGAAACAGAAAATATGCCAGTGCATAAAAAGAACAGTTCTTCAAAATATATATTTACTCTCTCATAAAACAATTTATTTAATGATGTACTCAAGATACAAAATAAGAAATAACATATTTGGTTTACTCACAACCTTCATGTGTTCAGCATACACAGGTACAGAACTTATCTGTCGATTACATATATGTTTTTAGATAGTTTCTGTGCCACCTGGTCAAAACATCTCTTGTCTACAATAAACAGCAGGCAAGTGTTTGCAAATCTGCAATCTGAGCAGTCCCAAAGTCTAAAAAAGTCTGTGATTTGTGCTCTTCTCAGAGCAGATCACATAGTCTGCAGCCCCTCTCAGAACTCCTCCAGTGTTTCTCGTCTGGTGGGGACGAGAGACAGGGCCTTCTCAGCTGTGGCCCCCCCGCCTATGGAACTCGCTTCCCACTAAGGTAAGCTCGGCTTCATCCCTCCTGTCCTTTAGGAAGAAATTGAAATTGTGGTTCTGGGACCAGGCTTTTGGACAGCAGGCATAAATAGCACTTTGGATTTTGAATTTGACTGGAATGGTGATACGGCTGTTAATACTATTTTTATTGTTTTAATTAATGTTTTATTTATTGATTTATCTATTGCTTTAATTGTGTTATATTGCTTGGCTATATGTTGTGGCATCGAACTGTTGCCAAATGTAAGCTGTCCTGAGTCCCCCTTTGGGGGTTGAGAAGGTACGGGATAGAAATACTGGAAATAAATAAATAATAATAAATTCTTCCTCATTAATTTTTCCATCCAAGGAAAATGGGACAACCTACCTCACTTGGACGCAAGAAAAATCCCTACTGCAGCCGGAGTTTGCCTGCTCCTCTTCCAGACATTTGTTACATCTGGCATGCATTGCCCTTTAATAATCAGCCTGTTCTCATTGTGATCAAGTGAACTTTTACTAATCTCTTCCTCCCCGCCTTCTTATTGTTTAGGGGGAACTGATGCTGGGTTTCATCAATGGGGATGAGTGTATGTGTGGGAGCCAATCAGGCAGCCACAAGCAAAGGGGGGCTCCAAGTAACTTAAGTCAACTGTAAAGAGTTCAGGGAGAACCTAATTACAGAGCAAAGCAAAACTGCTCACTTTAGCATCATCTTCCTGGATCTCTCTGTGTGTCTGATTTTGTTGCTGTTGTTGCCGCAGACTCCTTCTTTTTCTCTTCCAGAGAGAGAGAGAGAGAGGTAAAGCCACAGAGGTGGAGAAGTAGCAGCTACTCCTCCCCCAGGCGCACTTAGCAGCTCTAAGCCCACAAGGTGTGTGCTCACAGACCAAGAGTGCAATCCACTGATTGGGGGGGGGGGGAGCAAAGGAGGGAGAAAGAGAGGGAGAGAGAAAAGATTGATTGCATCTTGGCCCTGCCATTAAATGAGCCATTATCAGGAGAAGCCGCAATAATGCATACAGTCACTTGAAAAGAAAAGCAGGCTTCCTTGGCGAATACACCTATTATTTCAGCAGTACTCCAGGAGTGTTTCAATAGTGTCCAGGTTTGTTGCTTATTTGAAATACATTTGAATTGAATACATAGACACTGAGGCTTAAAGGGAGGGGAGAGGAGGGAGGGAGAACCAGAAAGGAAAGAAAAGGGGGATGAGGGGTGGGAAGGGGGAGAAAAGAAAAGCCAGCCACACATTCTTGCTTGAGATATGCCTGAAGTTCTCATTAAACTTACCATTTGGAAAAGACAGATTAAAGGGAAATGGCTTTTTGAGAAAAATAGAGCTGGAAATGATTTTGGCCCCTTCTGACCTAGCAAAGGCAGTTTTGACAGCTACACAAAGATGTTACTTGTGGGTTAAGATTCTCCAGCAGGTTTCTTCAAAATATTTCCGTGGCTAGACCTGAGAGGAACGCCTTGTGCTGCCAAACCATTGCAGTGTTTGGTACTGTTTTCTTGGATACTTGCTTAGCTTCTCTTACATCTGAGGTATCACACAACAAAGTCCAGAGGGATTCTGGGCATCTACTTGGTGCTTCCTGCCATGCTGCCATACTATGTGCAAGTATGAACTCTGAACAAAACATTCCCCACACTGCTGACATTGGTATGGCTTCTCTCCTGTGTGGAGTCTTTTATGGCTCACCAAATGTGAACTGTAAGCAAAACATTTTCCACACTCCTGGCAATGGTATGGCTTTTCTCCTGTGTGGAGTCTTGTGTACCTCAATAAGTCTGAACTGGAAACAAAAATGTTCCCTTCAGTGCCTATGCTCTGTGGCACAACAAGCTGGCTTGCTTCAAGATACAATAACAACCCCCCCCCCCTTCCTTCCCCTTCTCTCTATTACTTTAACAGGCCTTCCTGTCTGGA